ATCAGGCTCTGCATATGTAGTGGTTAAAGGCAGCATCTTGCGTCCCCCATTGAACATTGACGGTGACAATTAGGTCTCTCGGTGCGTCCCATTGCCTTGCTTGCTGGCAAGAACGTGCCGCTCGGTTCCCAGTTCCCTCAATAATAATGAAAATACCTTATGCTCACGCTCAGTTATGATATGTATCGCGTATGATAAATTCATTTAAAATTTAACCGTTACTTAATTTGGTTTTGTATAGAAACTCATACCATACAGCTGATACAGATATCTCTTTTCAAGACGTATGATCAATTGCTTTCTATTTCAGCTAGGAACTGCCCGTGTAGACATTCCTGTCCACTGTACCGGTATACACCTTCAAGACGTATGATCAATTGCTTTCTATTTCAGCTAGGAACTGCCCGTGTAGACATTCCTGTCCACTGTACCGGTATACACCGTAAATCATTTTTATGCGGTAATCTGATGGGTTTTATTTAGGCAATTACCTTCAACGAAGCTTGGTTGATCCGTTTCATTTGGGTGTCCCGAGTGTACGAGAAGCATCCTAGTTAAATCATTAAAATTTTGCCCTCATTAGGCCATCTTTTGTTGATGCGACGAAGAGTCGACTGAATTGTGTGGTTGAGTTAAGGCTTGAGCTGTTTCGAGGTATGGAATACTTTTTTGGATTATAAGGAGGAAAGTTTGACAGGAAGCCAGCTTCACTAGAAAATAAAGCATTTCCAGGACAGAACTAAAATTAATTTCCAGAACGCAGCTAATTTTTTCAGGTTAATTATGAACAAGATGTAGTATTGAAGACTGCCTGCTGGATTTGTATTTCGGCTACCCCAGGAATTTCGGATGGAATTTAGTCGTAAAGAGGAAATCCTGAGCTCTGAAAACAAAAATGAATTAGAGTAAATAATATTTTTATTTGCACTAATCTGTTAATTTCTTGACCGCAGAGCTCGAATTAAAACGCTCTTATAACCTCTCAGCTCCATTGCTGTTCGGATGTACTTTTTCTAGTCCGTTTATAAAGCACAATATTGGATGTTGGTGCCGGAGGAATGCGTATCTAGATGCGACTTGGTAACTTCTCTTGTACAATTCTGCGTTATTTCAGTTAAAATTGGAAAAATTTACCATAAAATAAATATTTGAACGTATTCTATGTTAAGTGCCCTAACGTTACCTCAGTGTTTGCGCTACTTTTTGCATTAATAAATAACTTCTCGCTTAGATCAAATTGCTTTGCTGACAATTTCTCAGTACCTCATTAAAAAGCGAGATTACTTTGGTTTCCTGCAAGTTACCTCGCCAGACTCTGACCTTAGCGACGAAGCTCTCGCGACACGTTCTTAATGGCTTAATAAGATCCGAGTCTCGGGTTCCTGATAAACTCCTTCGCTTCCTTGCATCCCACGTTGAAAATTAGAGCGTTTATTGCTATTGGACTTAAGGACATCGAGCGTTAGTGTATTAGGCAGTAGCCAAATACTACGAAAATTAGTGAACAGTAATTGCTCTGAATTGAGAGGTGATTTGGAACGCTAAACTTTTGATGAGTTAATCTAACCATAAGCATGGAAATGACATATTTTTCGAATAATTTGAATGACGTTCTCTGGTCAGGTTTATTTGCCTTTGCTTCTTCAATGTACAGCAAGAGATGCTTTGGGAAAAAAGAGATATTCATGAATATGTTGCCTATATGATTTGGTTGTCTCAGTTGCAATGCGAGCATAGTGCCTTTAATACAATATGATATTTGACACCGACTCCTTTTATTGAGATTAAAGGATGTTCTTTTTGGTCTTTATAGACTTATAAACTTAATCGGAAGCCATTATACTTGAGGGTCTAACTGTTAGATGAATATTTCAAAAAATGCCTGATAACTTATTGACGGATTTTATTTTTACTGTACATTATATTGACTAAGAAATATGATCATCATTCGAATTCATTATTGTTTGAAGCAAACCTGGCATACTTACCTCTTATCAACGTGCGGCCAGAGTTTCTTGGGCAACGATTCGGAAACAGCCGTGTCTCGAACAGTCAGCCCGTTTTACGTCCGACGTATTCGTCATCTCTGTCGTGTTTGTTGCGACGAATTTTGATTTTGAGTAGTTTTATTGACAGTTTGCAAAGCCATCATCAGCCTTTTGCTCCTCTAGACTGCTTCTATGGTAAATAGAATTGGATTTGTCAGGCAACAAACGGCATATGGCGGACTGGTCCGTTTGTTGAAATTTTCATGTCAGTGTCTCATGAAATATTTCATGCAATGTTTTTCGCCAGTGACGCCGTGCTTTGTCTCGATGTTTTTATTGACTACATTAATATTTTGATGCATGACATGCATTGGAAACATGATCTGATTATGAGTGCAACTATCTATATCAAACCAAAAATACTCAAGTGCATGTCATGTAATACAGAATCTGATAATCTCAGATAATTGATGAAAAAATATTTTTTCATCAGATAATTGTTAATAATCAAGAGTTTATTATCCCATGGCATTGTTAGATTGCGCATTTTTTGGTGACACCATAGGGGCTTCTATGTTGCTTGATGATCAAAGTTTGAATTTTGTTTATTTTTTTAATTTTTGTGGTCGCATGTTCATCAAGTCAAAACGTTGAAGTTTTCCCTCGTACACATGAAGGCAGTTACGATGTTCTCACGTTACCGTAGTTTTGACAGTTGAGAAAGGCGCGGAGGAGACCACAAAGAACATAATTCTTGCCAGCGACACTGCAGTGCAGTTCTTAAACTGACTCACTTGGGTCCCTTTATGTTATGCGCCGTGATCATAAACTTTATGTTATGCGCCGTTATGTAGCGCCGTAATCATAAAATAATAAATTGTTAATTGAACAAGCTCGATGTCTTTATATTTGTATTAGTATTCTTTACCTTTAAATAGAAAAAAATGACATGGATTTACGTGTAAAAGTTTTTTCCGGCCTTTCCACTCATTATTTTAGCAGGATTTGTTAGCTTTAAAATGAACTATTTTACCTTGATATGTAAGGGTGATGGTCTTTTCTGGTTTTTCCACTCAAGAACACCGATGAAAGAATGTGTCGTAAGTTGTATTTACGATTTTAATTAGGCAATAGGTTGAGTGCAAGAGTTCCTGTGCGCATGAGTGTCATACGCTCTCCATTAAAGTTTCACGAAACGCCAAATGACTTCATCGTTATAGGAGATAGTGCTAGTGCATCATGTCAAAGCATAAGCTTGAGGCCATTAGTTCGGTGGGTGTGTTGCGGATGCATTAGTTTTTCGCCAAGGAAGCTAAGGAACAACAAGGCTTCTTTGAGGCCTGCGTCGTATCTACAGAGCAGTGCTCTCAAGTTTTGTCTCGTCTAGAGTGAACCTCTGCAAATTCTCTCATGTACTCGACAGCTCTGGCATCGTTATGTTGTCGTGATTACTTTCATATGGTTGTGCACTTACAGTCCTTTAGTACTTTATCTTATTATGTTTCTTTCACTGTTTGCCGTCCGAGGTTTTTTTCTCAAGAAAAAATCGGTGCAATACAGAAAATATAAAAACTACTCTTTCAATACAAACAGCTGTAAGCTTGGAATACAATTCATCTAACCAGTTTCACTTCAGGTCTAGTTGGAATTCAATGATTTTGTAAGCCATCGTGTAATGAAGTAAGAATACATTTTTGTGAATATTTTGGTTCCATATTGGGAATGAACCTTACTTATTCCTTACCAAAGATATTTTAATTTCAATGCATTTATTTTCCGTTATGCATTGAATGCATTTGTTTCGTGAAAAAGTATAAATTAACTCTGAAAAATTTGTTTTGGTCTATTGTACCATTGTAAAGCTTCATACAAAAGTATACCTGCTAATATATTAATCATCTATGCTCTGTTTTGGATGTAAGATTATTTTTTTTAGGCTTCATTACGCAGTCATATTTCTCTTTAATATATTTTCTAACAGTTATACTTTCCAACCGTTCCCGTAAGCTCATTATGAACAATCAATGCAAATAAAATCTTTCACCGGGCAATGAGCCGATGCTTGGCCAGACGACCTGACCTTGCCCTTTGTTCCACATTCAAGTGGGTGCTGTGCGGCTGACGGTACAAATGTGTACTAAGACGCTAAGGGCACAAATGTGTGTGAAGATACTGAGAGTACACATGTGTGTCAAGACGCTGGGGGTACAAATGTGTGTCGGGTACAAATGTGTACCAAGACGCTAAGGGCACAAATGTGTGTCAAGATACTGAGAGTACACATGTGTGTCTGGGGTACGACGTGCGTCAAGACGCTCTAGGTACAATATGTGTCGAGACGCTGGGAGGTACACATGTGTATCAAGATACTTAGCTGTGTCCGGGTCCGAGCCTCATACCGTCTCCTCTGCATAGCGGGCAGCTCAGTGGAGAGATCCTGGAGCTCGACTGCCTCGACCTTTATGTGCCAGTTCTCTACATGCTGGCAATTCGAATCTCTGGGGAAATTCCTTCATAGGTTCTATTGTCGCCTAAACCTGGCATACATTTAATACCTCATAGCATACTGCTCGATTCTCTTAGGTCCGGCTGAAAATGAAGTTACTGATGAAAATACTCTTCCTCTGTAAGTTCGGGTTTGGTTTTCGCTGATTTTCGTTATTCATGAAGAATCTTGACCTTGTTGTTTTATGATTACATACTTTTTAGTCTCATTCTTATACCGCTGTTAATTTCGCCTCATGACTCAGCATTGTTCGCTCAACCTTTCAACGAAAGAATAATATTTATTATTTTTCATCGTTTAATCACGATTGCAATAATCAAGATATCAATCACGATTGCAATAATCACGATATCAGTGCAATTATATTTTGCGCTTGTTTCTATTCCAACAAAATACTTGGTCTACTTCCTCTCAACCCTTCTGAATTTCTCCATCCTTAAGTTTCCTAAACTAGGACCAAAGTGTGTTATCTTGGACGTCTTTTGGCTGCAACTTGTCGACTGCATTTAGTTAAACACGCAGCCGATTTCCTCGATCATTGAGAGCAAGTCTGTGGAGGCTCCAACTTTTATCCCCAGCGACTCAGCGACCGACGCTGATTTGGAAGCGACTTTTTGTTTCTCTTGCTGCGCCTCAATGCGGTGCAGCTGCTGCTGCTGCGTTTCGATGTCGCAGTGGCTTAGTCCCATCCTTGTGACAACAAAACTTATAGTATATAACAAATCAAGGAAGTTGTAGTTCCTTGTGATAACAATTTTCAACAACAATTCATTGTATATAACAAATCAAGGAACTTGTAGTTCCTTGTGACAGCAAAATCATTGTTTAGAGAATTATATTTTAATAAGAATTCTACAGTATAGCATTAAATTATTGGCTGAAATTCGTATTCAATCTTTCAGTCACTAGAATTTACGCGAAGCAGGATGTCAAATGCTTCAACGATTGACTCTTTATTCAATATAACGCAAACAGTTTCTGAAATAAATGAATGTAAACTATACAAAATAATACATTGATTGATACTAGAACAATATATCAACAGAAATATTTGAAAATAAATATGTACATGTTCATGATAGACAAATAGTCCCTTACAATACAGTGTGGGCACCATGCTGTCGCAGTAGTCGGAAACCATGAATAGAGGACACATTTATCGATCCAACTAGGCCTCGCCTACTTCTTCTTAGGATATTTTAAGTAGTTAGTACTGAAGACTAAATATCAAAATCTGCGTCTGCAATAAAGTTAGAATGTTCGTTTACTTGAAACTACGGTCACTTTGTAGGAAGAGTAATTTGGTTGGTTGGGATTGTATTGACCTTCAATATTTTTGTTGTTGAACTTTTAATTCTTGAAGAAAATATTGCATACTATTCTTTCCACCCCTCTTCTCTTGGTATTGCTTCATTAAGTGTACCTATATTCATGTCGCAAAAGAGTTGTTGGTTCAAGTATTATTTCTTCTAAATTATTAATGAAACGCAAACAGAAAAGTTTCTGAGAATAACAAAATTATAATCTAAATTTACATTAAGAAATTTGCAAATTCAAAAATAATTACGATTTTTAAATTTAAGTAATAGCATTCCACTCAAGTTTGATTTACTTTCTTATTTGTTGTTATTTTCATAAGGAGCCTGACCATTGAAAATAATTCGTAATGACTGTGCGAGCTAAGAAATGTTTCGATATTCTCGTCCGAAATTGTAAAATTTTGCTCTTGAGTGCAGAGGGCTTTTATCTGTTGATGTTGCGGCCGCCATAGACGAAACATGAGAGACACGAAACATGAGAGGGTCATGAAACCGGACACCTGATGCCGTTTCAGAAATTGGTGTTCAGTGGAAGCCCTTCTTCCTTAATTTATGGGCTCATTTGAGCCGCACACTTTTAGCATCACCGACCGAGGGGTGGAGGGCAGTGACAGAGTGCTGGTCTGTGGCCCTCAAGCGCCGAGGGCTCCAACTGAAACGTTTGCCTGGCTATCAAAAAAAAATAGCCAAGAAAGTCCGACTGCCTTTCATTTGGGCAAGAGTTTTCGACTGTCTTTTATGTCTACTTAGCAAAATTTTGTGATAAAAATTTTTGTGTCGAATCAGGATTAAGAGATGTAATTTTAAAATCATTGCGCATTTTCAGATGAATTTACGACTCGAAGTATATAAATGAGAATATCGAGTACTGGTTAGAATTTTTATGATAGAATCCTACTCAAGATATCATCTACAAGAACTGATGATGTAAACGTTGCAAAAAAGTTATTTGAGGCTGTTATTATAGTTCAGTTAACATTATTCTAGAGGACTGACGGACCAATGAGAAAAAGTCTCGAAATCACTGAACTTTGCTAATCACTTAATTTATCCCTATAGTTATTTCGAAACTTATGAAAGTACCAAATAATTTATTTATCACGCCAGAACGACGAAGCCCTTACGTAAATTAATACAGCAAAGTTGCTTCAGAAAAACCATTCGATTCAAAATATGCAGATGATTACATTCGATAAAAATTATTACATGTTGGTGTAAGGAATACAATGTTGCGAAGAATCGTACAATACAATACAATACAATACGATACAAGGTTGCAAAGAATCGTTTGCTCAATTCAATGAGGATCAGCACCATACAGTGCAAAAAACGATATGGGCTATTGTCTAGAGTCTAGACTCTTTTCGTGCCTAAGATTTGCGTGTGGCGATGCATTGATCGAGCATCTGCGATGCTTAATCAAGTTTCTAGTATGCCTTGAGCTTATTCAATGCCTCTGGCTCTTTCTACCACTTCCACTCCTTGAGCTTCTGGATTTATTTATCCAAACTCTCCCATTTGACGCTCTTACAGGACGCTCTGACAGTTTTTTCCACTGCTATGGTGACAGTCACTCTGCATTCCATGCATAGCAACGAAATAGCGTGCTCTCTACGTTCGTTTTGACGTTCGTTTGTTGTTTCGATGTTAGTTATAACTTTTGAAGTGGTACTTCACTCTCGTCAACCAGCCTGTAAATTCTGAGGCTTTACAATCCTGATATTCTTGAGTGCTTAAACTGAGAACTTAATTTACGATTTTTGTTGGCTTTACTTCACGTATTTGCCGCTAAAGTTCAAAGATTGTATTCTGCGTGAGGCTCAAGGCAAAACTAAGTTGAAAATTCCATCCTAATTTTACTTTGTCCACTTTTTCATAAATTAACTCAACGAACGCAATGCAACGAAATTTTTTAAATAGTTGATTTACATGTCATTTTTTCTTATTACAATAAAATGATTGACTTAATTACTAGTTTAATTGTCTAGTCAGTTTTTGCTTTGTTATTTCATAATATGAAGTGAAAGGCCATTGAATTATTAGACTCACAAAAGAAGGTAGTTGTTGAATACGAATTGCATGCCAAATCGACATGGTCATTTTACTATACGAAGATTATCAATACATGGACCATTGGTCCGTCCCGCCGTCTGTGCGTTTGATCACTAACAATTACAATAAGAAGATGAAATACTATTGGAGAAGCTTGAGAATCTCCTAACATCGTGTGTTGGTTAAATGCTCATTTGTCTGTAAACTACTGAGCAGGATGCAATGAGAATGAATCCCATTGTATATCGTGTTATTTTACGATTTGAGTCTCATTGCAAATCGTGTTATTTGACGATGATAGTCTTAATGCAAATCGTGTTTTTTGACGATGAGAGTCTCATTTCAAATTGGGTTTTTTGACGATGAGAGTCTCATTGCATATTGTGTTTTTTGACGATGAGAGTCTCATTGCATATTGTGTTTTTTGACGATGAGAGTCTCATTGCATATTGTGTTATTTGACGATGAGAGTCTTAATGCAAATCGTGTTTTTTGAGGATGAAAGTCTCATTGCATATTGTGTTATTTGAAGATGTCTCATTGCATATTGTGTTTTTTGACGATGAGAGTCTCATAGCATACCGTGTTATTTCACAAGAAGAATAAGGATTACAAAGGACTGTGGTGCTAAGTGACCCCGCCCACGTCATCTGATATGCATAGCTGTGCCAGAGCTGCGCTTCCCTGCATGCTGATGCCCGCGCAGTCATCTTTCATTGCATTGTTTTGGTGCGCTAGTGACAGGCTGACCGCTGATTTATAGAGCGTTGTTGGCCGAACAAAATAGCCAGGAAAGGTTCGCTCGGCAGCGCTTCCTGTCATGGAACTTCATTTGCAAATACCGTGTGGTTATTCCGGTCACTTTTGCAGACTCCGTGTCTTCGCTGAGTGTTTGGTGTCTTGTTGCGACCAGATCGTTTTTCAAAATTTTCTTTGCGCGCTCTGAGTTAGTGGATTTTGATGCTACTGTGATGATGGTCTTCGCGTTTGAATTGTTCGGGTTGTAATATGTTGCGTTTTCCTGTTTAAGTATTCTATTTCGTTGAGCGGTGTCGAATTTTTTTACAAAATAATAGAACATAAGTCTTTGAAGCCTGCTTTCATCAGAAAAACTCTGTTCTGTATTGTTGAAGTGCAAAGTTATTGAAGTATCTCATAAAGCTTGTCATAAATTGCATTCATAGACTTTATTCATTTGATTGCGTTGCGTAAATTTCAGCCAACCATGCAATTGTTGCAGATTTAATTTTTTCTCCTCATTTTCATTTAAGAATTAAAATCCTACATTAAATTACATCGCGCATGAGGCGTCGACGGTTTAAGCATATAATCAGCATGCCGAAACTTCCCGCGCATCCGCAACGACCAGGGATTTTTAAGCTAATAATCAACCATCCGTAAAAATTCAATGTCATCACTTCTGCACACAACTCCAGGTATTCAGATATTACAGTGTTGAAAGTACTCGTAATGGGCGTGGGTGTGTAATTTGCAAGTTTATTTATGACAAAATAATTAAACACTTCTCAAATTATTGAATAATTGTGGAAAGAAAAAATGTCAACTTAAAATTTATAGTGAATGGATGCATGTGTTAATATAAAAAGTTGTAATACACCTGCAATACTACTAATTTCGAATAATTTAACCTTGTAGTTTGTATAGCTTTTTTTGTACAGATACACCCATAGTTCAAGTTTATACGTTACGCCTGAGATTAAGTGCGTTAGTTTTGTTCACGAGCGGCACTTGATGGATGGTGCGACCCCTAATTGGCACAGGTTATTGCTCATTTAATTTATGAATGACCATATTTGACTTCCCAGCTCCGGACGGCGAGAAAATTTTTCCAAAAAATTTGCCAAAAATTTGCCAAAAAAGTGTAGTATGTTGAATTGGAATATTTCTGTGCGATTTAAACGGACGTTTTAGACTATTTTAGCAGAATTAATTTTTCAATTAAAGGCACCTAATTCCTAAAGATATTCGGCAATTTTTTTCTGTCATCGGCTGTCCGCATCTTCAGAAACTTTGATTTTTTTTGCGCTATCCGTTCCTGGGTACCTTCATTCGATAATTATTTATCAGCCTAAATTTATTTCTACCTCCAAAGCCCCATGTGCAATTTAAAGTCCAATAAAAGGATTTTTTGTTTGTTTGGACCCATCCAAAGGCTTAAATGTGATTTCTAAGAGCCTTAATAAAAATTTTTGATGCTATTTTTTATACTATTAAGGAATTTGAATACAGGTGCTCGAAAAATTATTGTAAATCTGAAAGGAAATCCATAACTGTTTTGCTGCAGTTTTTTTTATTTTG